TGCCGCGCCGTTACGGAGATATGGCCGTTCAAAGTTTCAGTGGTTTTCCATAGACTTAAGCTTTAAAGCGTTACATCCAGATAGCTAGTAGCAAACAATAGAGCGCGCTCTGCTGGACAAACTAAGTAATTACACCATTTCAAGCATTTTATCTGCGTTTTATGTTATGTCAAAAAAAATTTCATTTCGGCGGCATATTCGCCGTTACCGATATATCTGCGACAGGCTCATATCGGCCGATAAAATTGGCAAAACGGTGTATCGGTCGGGCTATAGTTTTTATATCATGTAGGAGTGATCCTTCTACAGCAGAAGATCAGCATCAGTCTGATGTCTCTCTCTGGATCACATGCTGTTATGAGCTGTTTCCTGTCATTTGTGATACGGGATGTGAGCTGGGCGGAGGAATGTGTCTGTGTGTGTGTGTGTGTGTGTGTGTGTGTGTGTGTCTGTCTGTGTGCATGTCTCTGTGTGTCAAAATCGTGATTAAAATCGAAATCGCAAAATTGATAAAAGAAATCGCGATAGGTTTTTTTGTCCATATCGCACAGCCCTAGTGTGTGCGTGTGTGTGTGAGTGTGTGTGTGTGTGTGTATAACTGCAGCAGTCTTTCCTGCGGCTTCAGCTTCGAGTGAGTCTCCAGTTTGATCGATCAGCTTCCCCTCGCCGTCGTACACCATTAGAAAATCCTCTTCTCCGGTTTCCCTCTCGCTCTTTCTCTGCCCATCTGTTTACGGGTGAATCTCACCATACCTCAAGAACATGACATGCCGTATTTCGCCTGAAAAATCATAAAGAAATATCTGAAAGTATATTTCATAATATAATGAATTCAGTAAAGAGAGTTTGTGGTTAAATCTGTGCCCTGTTCGGCCATCTTGGCTCTGGCCACTGCAGTTTCTCTGTATCTGGCATAGATTCACTCAGCAGAAGTGTCATGAATCTGTGGGAGGATTTGATTTGTTGTTTCTTTGTTGCTGTTTTGACACAGTTGGTGCTGACAATGTTGTATTTTTGTTTTCTGGATCGCAGGCTGAAGAAGAAGCGGCAACTGAAGCAGAGCCAATCAGAAAAGGCGGATGCTGAGCAGAGCCAATCAGATTTGGAATCCAAGACGCCAGTCATCTGTGAGCCCGCTCCTATTGGTCGATCTCAGGAGAGGAATGCAGAAAGAGGCCAACCTGACGGATCAGGTGAACAATTAGACAATCTATATGAAGTAGGGCTTAAATTATTATTATTATTTTTTTGAGAAATTCGAATTTCCAATTTCTAAATTCAAGTGTAGTTTTTATTGGGCTACACAATTAATCAAAATAAAACCAAAATCACGACATGACTTTATTATTAAATCACAAAGGCTGAGTTTGAATTAAATTGCATTTGGGAACACAACATACGAAAATCTTCCCATACTTGTAATTAGAAGCTCAACAAAAGAGAAGCTAGTGTTACGGCTATCCATCATAATAAAAGCTACATAGTTTAAAATGTTAAATAGAAGAAATTAATAATAAATAAATATTAGTTTATAATAATAATAATAATATATAGTAAATTAGTAAATAAATATTAGTTTTGTAATTTTACATTTCTAATGTGTCCTAACTAGGATGGAAAAATAATTAAATGCATCGCGAATCAAGAAATGATTCCGAGATTTTTTCGAATGCATCGCGATTCTTTTTGAATTTTGAACAGCAGATGGCGCTGCATGCTTTAGAAACCTTTTTAACATCATTAAATATACATAGTGACTGATATCATCTTTGTTATGGAATACGCTCCTTGCTTCGCAGTGAGTTACCAGTTTTAACGTAACACATTTGCTTACGTTTATTTACGCATCTGTTGTTGCTTTCAGTATAGCTATAAGGTCACGCAAAATGATATTCAAACTCACATTAGACACGTTTAACTTTGAATAAAGCACAATCACCTGGGATTATCTACATGTAGTCATATAGTTTGTACGTTGTTGCTCCAGCCACGGCGTCGTGGAAATAGAAACCGTATCTAAAATAGAAATTTCGCGTGTCGCCGTCGCGGCTAGTTAGGACAAACCTCTGATTAGCATGTAAAACATACCTTTTATCACGTGTCGCAGCGTCACGTCGCATGTAGTTAGGATACGGTGTTATATTGTTTTTACTAAATACTAAATTATTATTATTATTATTATTATAGTAATATTTATTTTGATTTATAATACTTTTAAATATTTTTAATAATGAAAAGTATTATTACTGCTACTATTATTATATTTTTCCTAAATATTAAATTTTTTATATTACAGTAGTAATATTTCTTATTTTGTTTTAGTGGTTTTTGTAGTAGTTTTTTTATTTATTTACGTTTTCAGTTTTCATTTTAATTTTAGTCATTTTGTTATGTGCTTTTGTCATTTTTATTTATTTATTTATTTTCCGTTTTAATTTAAGTCCTTGTAGTTTTTCAACTTCAACTGATTTATTTCAGTTAGTCGCCAAGGCAACATTTCTTAGATTTAAAGTAAAAATTTTCAATTTCAATTCAACATTTATATAGTTCTATTATGTTATTATTACATTTTTAGGCTCTATATATTATTTTTTACCAGAAAAAATGCAATGATCGTACATTCCTAGTTTTCACCATGAAAATAGTCAAATAAAATATTAAAAATCAATTTAACCAAGACAAATAGTCATGAAAATATTAATTTTTATTTAAAACAGATTTTATTTAATCTATATTCTTAGGGTTTGTATAATAATATATTACTTATATTGGTAAGTAATATTTTCCCTGCCCATGTGGCCCACAAGGAAATTATGGAGCAAATTATCGCATTTTGATGCAAGATTATGAATCCAGCACCTGAAGTGTTCACAATATGACGAGGAATATTGACTAGGACAGTAAATGGAGAGGATTTAGATTTCACATGACCGTGTTTGTGAAGATTACAGACTTAAACAGAGCTGTGAGTGTGTTATTTATCGAGTCAAACAGACGGGAGCGGACAGGAAGAGGGTCAGATCTTAAACCTGACCACACAAACAAAGGTCAAAGGTCACACGCTGTTTGTTAAGGAAGTTACAGAACTGAACCAGGCGAGCAAAATAAAGTCCCACTGTCTGAACATTGACACGAGAGTGTGAGAAACCATCCAGAACACACTCGATAGTAAATAAGACACTAGTTATGCAGACTTCAGTTGATGCTGATTGTTTAGAGTTTTTGATGAATATGTCATGCATGTGTGTTTGGTCATGTATGTTGCTGTCTCTTTAGCTTCAGAGAGTGTTGAATGACGCTCGTATTGTTCTTTATGTTTGACATACGCAAGCCTTTATTCAGTAGCTGATGTCTCATTTAAAATTAAAGTCGTCTGTACAGTCGTTGTTGATAGGAACCAGTGCTATTTTAGTGCTTTTTATAAGCTATTATAATATTAATATGCTGAATTAGCTTTTATTTTTAGGTTTTCAGTTTTTTACTGGTATTGTTTAATGTTTTTAATTTTTAAATTTTTTTAATGTTGTTGTTTTGTCATTTTTATTTATTTCTTTATTTTATGTTTTAGTAAGTTTGTCTTTTTTTTCATATTTTTGTTTTAAGTTTTTATTTACATTTTTAGTATTAGTACTTTTGTTATATGCTTTTGTCTTTTTTGTTTGTTTTAAGTTCAGTTTTCATTAAAATTTTAGTTTGTCATTTTGTTTTGTGCTTTTGTCTTATTTTTTTAAAATATTTTTATGTTTGCAATTTAAAAGTTTTAGTAATTTTATGTACTTTAGCTTTTTTAGTTTTACATTTTTTATGATTTCAGTTTTCATTTTATTTGTAGTTAGTAATTTTATGCACATTTGCATTTTTTATTTGTTTGCACTTTTATTTTAATTTTAGTTTTAATCATTTTTATGTTCTTTTGTCATTTTTATTAATGTTTTTATATAATTTTAATGTTTTCAGTTAATTTTTATCTTAATTTCAGTAATTTTGTTATGTGCTTTTGTCATTTTTAGTTGTCATTTATTTATTTTTTAGTTTTAGTCATTGTAGTATTTCAACTTCAATTTATTCCAGTTAGTTCCCAACGCAACTTTTCACATATAATTTTTTTTTTTTGTACTTTTTCCCAATATTTTCTTTTTATTTCTGCTGTATTTCAATTAGTATTACTTCAATTCAATATTTCAATTTTAGTTTACCATAAAGACACTGATATGAACAACCAATTACTACTTAGTATATTTTACAGTTTATCACACTATAACAGTTGTTGGTTTTGAGTCACATATTTCCACTCCAACTGATTCGGTGAGTGATTGAGTCATTTGAGTCCTTTGACTCATTTGAGTCATTTTGATTCATTCATTCAATGGAACAGCCTCATTAGAGTAATTATTTTTAAATCGGACCACACCAGTGTTATTTTAGTATTGTTGAGATAGTATTAGTTTTTATTAATATTTTCTGGGTTTTTTTTTATTTCTATTAAAGTTTTAGGAATTTTGTTGTGTTTTCATCTTTTTTTTATTAGTTTTTTTAATGTGTTTAAATAGTTTTTATTCATTTTTATTTAAGTTTTAGTATTATGTTATTTTAGTACATCACATTAAACTAACTGAAAATGAGATTTTTTTTTCCTCGGCAGCTAGCTGAAATAAAATAATTTTTAAATAATTTTTAAATATTATTTTTATATTATATTATTTTATAATTTTTTATTTTATATTATTTTATCATTTGTTATTAAATATTTTTTATTTTATTTCTATTTTTTCGTTATATTTGTATTTTTGTTTTTATTTGTTACTTCATTATGATCATAGTCTCTAATTGGCCTGATTAGCTAAGCCATATAAACACTTCTTATTTAGTGGTACAGTATTGCATGATTTGTAGATTTATATTTAATAGTTAACTTCAGTAAAAAAAAGTGATTTTTTTTTTTGTTTTTTTATTTATTTACCTCTAAAAGTAACAGATTTTTTTATGTAAAATATTCTTATTTTTATGTTATATTTAATATTTCTTTAACTTCAGTAAAAAAAAGTGATTTTTTTTTTTGTTTTTTTATTTATTTACCTCTAAAAGTAACAGATTTTTTTATGTAAAATATTCTTATTTTTATGTTATATTTAATATTTCTTTAACTTCAGTAAAAAAAAGTGATTTTTTTTTTTGTTTTTTTATTTATTTACCTCTAAAAGTAACAGATTTTTTTATGTAAAATATTCTTATTTTTATGTTATATTTAATATTTCTTTTAATTTAGTTTAAAAAAATATGATTTTGTGTTTTTTAATTTATTTATCTCTAAATGTAACAGATTTTTTATGTAAAATATTCTTATTTGTATGTTATATTTAATATTTCTTTTACTTTAGTAAAAAAAAAAAAAACCTTTTTGGTGTTTTTTTTTGTTTTTTAAATTTATTTACCTCTAAAATATTTTTTGATGTAAAATATTCTTATTTTTATGTTATATTTAATATTTATTTTACTTTAGTTAAAAAAAAAGATTTTGTTTTGTGTTTTTTTTATTTATTTACCTCTAAAAGTAACTGATTTTTTTAATGTAAAATATTCTTATTTTTAAGTTATATTTAATATTTCTTTTACTTCAGTAAAAAAAAAAAAAAAATAATTCCAGAAAGTTCAGACAGCCAAAACCTACAAATTTGGTGACTTTGGTGACATCTGCTGACATATGGTGGTATAAAAATATAAAAAATATCAATAGACACTCTTTGGCTGTAGTACTCAATGGCTGCATATCTATAAACCATTGTTGTAACGAACTTAGTAACGAAAACTAAAAGTAACCAAGTCTTGTAGAGCTCAGATTAAGGAAACTGTTAAAAAAAGGTTTTGCCCATCCCGAAGGATCCTAAGGATTAAGGTGATTTGCAGGGGCTTTTTAAAAAAAAATTATATGTATAAACTTTTATCAAAAATGTTAATTAAACAGTAAATTCAATTAAAATAATATGATACAATCAGGAAGAATAAGTCACCAGTCAAATGAAATCAGCATCAACAGACTATTTACAGACGGTTTAACGAGGCTCAGAGTTGGCATGAATGCATTTACATTCATAATAGCAATGTTATAAGATGAATGTTTTGAATATAGAAATATTAAACGATTTAAATAACTCAATTTATACTTTAAAAATGAAACTGAAACCACCAGTAGGTGGCGGCAAGCCACTGTCTTTGTCACTGAATCACTGAATCATTTATTTACTCGATTCATTCGAACGGCTGATTCGTTTAGGAACGAAGCAAGTGACTGTGGTATGAATGGGTTGAATCAGTGACGTTGTATTTTCGGTGACGAGAAACAACCTAACTTGTTATTCACTCTTGTATAAATTAAATATCACAGTATCACATCACTCTTAGTTCCATTATGATTAAAGAAGCTCTCTACACTGCACAATGAATGTATTATTTACATTTTATTCAGTGTTTTTCTCAGCAAGTAGTAATTGCAGTAATTTAGCTAGGATAAGTGTCTGTGTATTTAATGAGTGTTTTGAATCTCTTCTTTCAGATGAAATCAGTAAATCGTGCAGTCAGACCAAGAAAAAGAGAAGTAAACCTCCAGGAACCGTGGAGTTCACCGTGAGTTCGTCTCGCTGTATAAACGCTGCTCATCTCATCAATAAACTGCTTATATTTGATGTGTTTTTAACTGGTCAGGTCGGAGCGAAGGACACTCTGAACAGCATCGCTCTGAAGTTCAACGTCACTCCGAATAAACTGGTGCAACTGAACCGTCTCTACTCGCTCAGCGTCGTACCTGGACAGGTGAGACTCCTCTCCTGCGCTTTGATCAGTGACTCAGTTAAACCTAAAGCCTAACGTTTCGTTTCCCGCTCAGAAACTGTTCGTCCCTGAGGTGGAGCACTCAGAGCGGTCCTCTGAGCATCTCACAGCGCTGGAGCTGAAGGTAAGACGCTTCAGACGGCCTGTTTTTCTCTGTAAGGATCTTTTAACCCCTTAAGTGCCACCGGCCCACAGGTGGGCCCAATGGCGCTCTTTGTTGTCTTTTTTCTCTATCACATATTTTAGTAATCATCATAAATTATATGTGACCCTGGAGCACAAAAGCAGTCTTAAGTCGCTGGGGAAGATCATGTTCCATGAAGATATTTTGTAAATTTCCTACCGTAAATATATCAAAACTTAATTTTTGATTAGTAATATGCATTGCTAAGAACTTAATTTGAACAACTTTAAAGATGATTTTCTCAATATTTAGATTTTTTTGCACCCTCAGATTCCAGATTTTCAAATACTTGTATCTCAGCCAAATATTCTATATCTAGAATGTCCTATCCTAACAAACCATACATCAATGGAAAGCTTATTTATTCAGCTTTCAGGTGATGTATAAATCTCAATTTCGAAAAATTGACCCTTATGACTGGTTTTGTGCTCCAGGGTCACATATATCATTTGAAAGCTTAAAACCTCAGAATTCATCCTGTGAAAACCTTTTTAAATCGGACATTGCTTTACCATGGAAATGGTACTTTAAAATCTTGTAGCAACCTCCTCCCCTTAGTGGGTGGAGTCAAGTGTCATATTACAAAATATATTATGGTCTTTTAGAATCAAAAGTTTTTATAATCTTGACAAAATGCATATATTTGGAAAGGTTTGAGTCTCAAGATTCCATATTTGGTGGTTATTTTTTGATAGAAGTAATATTGATAGAGAAACTTAGACAACACATTTTGCATCAACAAATATTCTACAGAGTTTGGATGGCACCCGGTGGCTGTTTGTGGTATAACACCCTAAATAAAATCTCACAGGAACCTCAATTGTTTATATTATTGACTCTTATAGATTATTATAGTTCACTAAAACTAAAAAGAAATGTTAACATATATATATATTATTTTATATTTTTAAAACTTATTTTATTTTGGCTAGTTGCAAAGGCAGCATTTCTCATTTTCACTTAATTTAACTTGATGTTCTAAAATTTATTATTTAGGTTTTTTATTTTATTTTAAAGTTTTAATTTTAATTTTAGTTTTTTATGTGCTTTTTTCATTTTTATTTATTTGTATTTATTTAAAATTTTAGTCATTGTACTTTTTCAACTTTAATTTTTGTTTTGTTTTGGGGGAGGGGTAATTTTCATTTAAGTTTACTTTATTTTTTATAATATAATTTTAATATTTTATTTTATTTCAGCTTTATTTCAATTAATGATCATAAAACTAAAATAAAATAAAAATGACAAACACAAAATTACTAAAACGTAAAAATTCAAATTAAAATAGAAAAATAAAAACAAATAAAAAAAAACCTATTATAGTATCTCAGTGATACTCAGACATTCAGTGATTAAACCGTTTTTGACCTAAATTACTTTCTTGATGTCCGCCTGAGATTTTAAGTTAATATAAGTCAATAAATTGTTCAATAACAGTTTTTCTGATGTCAGTTAATGTTCACATGACAGGCACAAATAAAATATTAGTTTTATTTTGATTGTTTTTATTTTAAAACCATTTGTTTTCATTTCACACGTTTAGAATGATTAGCTTTTCATCTGATAACAAACCTCCTGCAGTTTCCTCCGAACCCGGAATTTCATAAAAGCCTCTGAGCTCATAACTGGACACTAAAAATCATATACTATAAGATATTAAAAATGACTGGTGGAGCTCTATTAAAGTGCTTAAATCTCCAGTATACTTCATTCTGAGGAGTTTGTGCTGAATTGTGGATTTGTTCTGCTGTATTGTTGACTAATGCAGTGATGATAAGCATCATGAATAATGAATGAGCGACTCTGAATCAGACAGCACTAATGGATCTCTGATATATCTCCGTCTGACAGGACAGTGAATCGAGCTGCAGGTCCAGACGGCCCGTGCGCAGAGAGACGTCGCCGCTCTCTGAAGACGAGAGTCCAGTCAGCATCAAATTCCTCAAGATGAGCTGCAAGTACTTCACTGATGGCATGGTGAGCGTTGCATGATGCTGTTCGCTCACACCGTGTCAAATCAAGCACATTTCAGAAACTTCCCCGGCTCAAATTTCAGATTTTGTTCATTTTTTTCTGAAGAAAGACAAACATAAATGTGACCCTGGAGCACAAAACCAGTCATAAGGGTCAATTTTGTGAAATGGAGATTTATACATCATCTTTGGTCATCATATTTTTTGCTCAGAAAAACAAAATTGCAATTAAATTAAACAGAAAATAATTTTTGGGAAAAACAACAACAATTTAATGCAGTATTTCACTTATTGTTTTTATGCTTAAACCCTTTTTCGTCTTTGACCCATGTATATATTTAAGAAAAATTTTACATTTATATATTAAATATATTTATATATAATATAAATTATATGAATATAAATATATGCATGTAAATATATTCAAAATACTTGCTGTATGTGTGTGTATTTATATATGCATAATAAATATACACAGTACATGCAGAAACTTTTATTTTGGATGCAATTAATCGTTTGACAGCAATAGTTAAAAACTAAGCTCAGAATCGATTCAAGAGAGAATCGCGATCTCTGAATCGATGCAGAATAATTACTCCATTCGCGATGCATCGATTTATTGTCCCAGCCCAAAAAAATGTCCCATGACGCACTTCAGCTTTAATTGAGGTGTCTGGGATCTCTGCAGGGAGTTGTGGGAGGAGTGATGATTATAACACCCAACAACATCATGTTTGACCCGCACAAATCTGACCCGCTGGTGATCGAGAACGGCTGTGAGGAGTACGGTCTCATCTGTCCCATGGAGGAGGTGCTGTCTGTGGCCCTGTATGACGACGTGTCCCGTATGAAGCTCAAGGACGCGCTGCCGTCGTAAGCAACAGACTCCTCTGTCTTTAAAATCTCTTACATTTGTTGTCGTCTTAGAAAACCCCCTCTGTGTCGTTTATGGTTTTTAAAAATATTTTATTTAAACGATTATGTGCTTGTGTTTACTAGAAACAAGCTTTAGGTTTTGTTTTGGGATGGCAACAAAATGTTGTTTTAGCACCATTAAGATTTGATTATATACCAGTGGGACTTTTATTATGTAATCTATGAGCAGCCAGATCCTTTGTTTTTTTGTTTATCACAAAAATGCTTTTTATGATATAAAAGGGCATTAAAAAAAGCATTATGTCATGTGGTCTCAGTTTTGGTTCAGTAAATATTTACGGGTCCACGGTTAAAATCAAATTAATTTAGTATTTAATATTTTAATACGCTGAATGACCAATAACAGTCCAGTTGTTTTGTTTGTTAAAATTAAATGTATTTATGTACTTTTTAAATTTATTTTCATTTAATTTATTTTTAACTCATTTATTTTACTTTTTTATTGTATTTATTTTATTGCATTTATTTATTTATTTATTTAAATGTAACTTAATTAATTTTGATATCATTTATCTTATAGTTTATTTTATATCATATATTAATTTATTTAAATGTAATTTAATTTATTTATTTTGATTTAACTTATTTTATTTTTATGTTATCTTATATTATTTAATTATGTAAATGTAATTTAATTTATTTTAATTCATTTATTTTCCGTATTTTATTTTAATTTTTATAAAATGCATTATTTATTTTTTATTTATTTAAATGTTTTATTTTAACTTTTTAAAAAATTAATTTTTCTACTTTACCTTATGCATTAATTAATTAAATTATTTATTTATTTTTACTTTAACCACACATTTACTTGATGGCTTAATGGCAAAATGCAAATGTTATGTGTAAGTTTATATTTTATAAACAGTGTGATAGTAGCATATTTTAAGCATTTATTCACCATGCTGCAATTTTCCCACTAGTCCTTGACTACAATTGTCGATACATTTTTGTTCATTCTCACAAACTGAGGGATGAATCAAAATTACTGATGCAAATCACCTGAAATAGTCCACCATCTTTCACTTTTTTTTACTTTTTTTTTTTTTATTCATTCCATTTTGGTTCAGCTTTGACTCCAAAAATCACATTTATCCCTTAAGTTTTGTCATATTTCTGTTTTGTTAATTTTGGATGTTTTGTTTGTTTTTCTCTTTAATTTCACCATCTCCACCCTCATGATGATGATGATGGCCGCTGTTATCCGTTGTAGTGATGAACCCCAGGATCTCTGTCCGTTATACAGGCCTGGCGAGTGGGAGGAGCTTCCCTCCGAACGAGATCTGAACCCCTTTAGTCGTTACGAGGCTCTCGGCGCGCCCAACCGGCCAATCGTGTTAGACGATATCGAAACGGCCGTCTCTAAGATATCAGAGTGCCAGATCGCTGACAAATTGCCGTCGGACGAAGGTTTCACCGAACTGGAGCTGCTGCAGAGCGACTCTAACACCACCTGCTCCGGCCAGGAGGGGGCGCCACTACAGGAGCAAAGAAAGACGCCAACAGACCAATCCGTGACGTCTTATCGCGCTGAAGAAGACGAGGACGAAGGCCTTCACAACCGTTCCACAGATGACAACGCAGAGCTGCTACAATCTTTTCCAAACAAGCTGGATGAACCCACGGCACTGGTGCATGATGGGAAGGAAGCCACCACAGAAGTGAACGAAGAAACCAAAACAAGGGGTGAAACGTTAGTAAATGGAGTCTCGGCAATCGAGGCAACCGCAAGTGACCAAAAAGCAAAGGCGACCCTAGAGGACTCTGGGAAATGTAGTAGCTCGCCCGGACCAAATCTTGAGGATAATAAGGGACCAAACTCATTTTCTGAAGCGGAGCTTCGCAGACGGGCCAGTGAGGCCGAGATGAAGTCATGGCTGCTAAAAAGAATGCAGAGACCAATCAAAGGTGAGTCTGTGTGATTGACAGGAAAGACCGGCCAATCACAGCAAAGGACTGTTTTCAGGCATGCAGTTTCTAACATTAGTCTACATAGCTGACATCCCAACTGAAGTAAGTGACCGTTTTAGTTTAGTAGTGTTTGCATTCAGTTATAGTATTTATTAATGGTTTTGTTTTTTAATTGTATTTGTTTTTATTAGTGCTGTCAAACGATTAATCATGATTAATCGCATCCAAAACAAGTTTTTGTTTGCATAATATGTATGTACTGTGTATATTTATTATGTATATATAAATACACACACACACAGTATATATCTTGAAAATATTGACATGTATATACGTTTATATATTTATATTCTTATATATAAATATATTTAATATATAAACATAACATATTTTTCTTAAATATATACATGCATGTTTGTATTTATATATACATAATAAATATACACAGTATGCACACATATATTATGTAAACAAACTTATTTTAGATGCGATTAACAGCACTAGTTTTTATTTTAGTTGTAGTTTAATTTTAATAATTTTGAAGTGTGCTTTATCTTTTTTTATTCATTTTTTAAATTCATTTTTAAAATGGTTTTAATTTGTTTTAAGTTTCAGTTAGTCATTTAAAGTAATTTTAACTTGCATCAGTTAGTTGCCATTATAACGCATCCAAAATTTTATTTGATAAGGTTGAAATTTTTTTTTATTTAGCTTTAATTTATATTTATTTCAATTTTAGTTTTAGCAATTTTAGTACTTCAACTTAAGCTTATTTTATTTCAGTTAATTGCCAAGCAACATTTCCAATATTTTTTTCAGGTTTCAAGTTTTTCATTTAATGTTTATTTTATTTTATTTCAGATTTATTATTTAAAATTTAATTGTTTTAGTTTTAGCTACCTCTACAGCAAAATATATATATTTTCAAACATATTTTTAAATATATTTCAAAATATACAAAAATGGCCAAAACATTATATTTGCTAAAATGTTTCAAAATATATTTATGTAAATATATTTTCTACCAATACATTTAAAAATATATATATATATTTTAATAATATAAATATTTTTTAAAAGCATATATTTTGCCTTCCGTATATTTCAAAAATACATTCACCTATGTCCCATTTGAAGAAAAACTTTTTGTTATCTATAGCACATGCGAACACCTTTGAATAAAAATTTTGTTATGTTTTGTTGTTAGTTATGAATCAAGCCTAAATGTAGGCTACTGTAAGATTGTAAATGTATTTTCTTTCCCCTGAAATATTTTTTTAAATATATTTTGGTTGGTGAAGTTTGAAAGTAAATATATTTTCAGTTTCAAAAACATATTTCGATAAACTTCACTGTATGTAGCATGTATTTATATGAATATATTTTGGCCAGAAAAATTTTTTTTTTTTTGCTGTATGGGTAATAACAACACTGATAAGAGAATGATTTGGAATTCAAGCTCACAGGAAGCTCCACCCTTAACTGACTTTAGTATGATGCAAAACAAAAAAAGCTTTTGCAATGCATTCTGGGATTGCCTTCTCCACTGAAAACAGGTGCGATGCTAAAAATTTGGCCCAAACAAGGTGTCAAATGAATAATGCATAATGTTGCCTCCTTTTGGAGCAGCTTATGTGTTGAAAACGTCTATGATTTCTGAAAATGCTCTCTTTGTAGGCAGTGCACTAGGTTTTGTAGCAGAGCTCTCGTGTTCGAGCTCGTATGTTTAACAGATGAGGGTTTATCAGGCCTCTCAGCAGAAGCTGATTGTGACATTGGAAAAACAAACAGAGGCTGAACACTTGCATAATTTCCCATATGGCCCTGTGGCAGAGTCAACATCCTGCTTCTGTCCCTTGTGCACTTAATGACCGGTGTCTCCTAAATAGTGCAGAACGGTTTTCAGATATTTTTAGCAAATTGTTTTCTAGATCATCACAACTAATGAGGCCAGGAGACGGTCGGATGTTCAGAGCTGGTATCTGATCTGATTTACAGATATGCTGCTGTCCAACGAAGAAAAGAGCAAAGCTCCGCCCATGTTCCTCTGCTTTAAGGTGGGGAAGCCAATGAGGAGGTCCTTCGCCGCTGGTCGGACATCTAGTCCCGCCCACTCGTACGTTGGCAGAGGGCGGCAACCAGAATATTGGTTTGCTGTGCCTCAAGAGAGGTATGAAGGGGTTCCTACTAGGGATGTTCATTTTGGTTATTTCTCCTAAACGCTTGTTAACCGATTATTAACCGTTAAACGACAAGATTATTTTAAATTAGGGCTGTCAAATGATTAACCGCGAATAATCGCATCCAAAATATAAGTTTTTGTTTACATAATAAATATACACAGTCCACATACATATATAATGTATATGTAAATACACACACATACAGTATATATTTTGAAAATATTTACGTTTATACATTTATATATTAATATTCTTATATTATATATAAATATATATTATATATAAATATATTTAATATACAAACATAAACATATTTATATATATATATATATATATATATATATGCTTTATAGACAGATAAGTTGAGAAGGACCAGCACCACATCCTCTTGTACCACTGAAGAATTTATCTTCCAGAATCTGGCAGTAAGTTTTGGGAGTTAATTTTTAGTCCATCTCGAGATTTTATCTGTAGAAGATAACCTGCTTAATAATTATGCACACCTGAATATAAGGCGTGTTTATTTTGGATGTGATTAATCGTGATTAATCGTTTGACAGCACTATTTTAAATTAGAACTGAAATAAATTAGAAAGGATAAGTGTCTTGTGGCGCGTTAAAAATACCAAAATTTGTTTTCCAGGGATTAATTTTACATGTGCAAAAAGCAGCAAGCAACAGAACATGAGGATTTATTTGGTCACTCTACATCACGCACTTGCAGTGCTTCTGCGAGCGGGATAAAACATAATAAAGCTAGGCTATATATAATGAATAAATAGGCCTATACAAGATATATATTTTTACTTAATAAATTAACAAAATGAAAGAAAGAAACGGTTAATTTTTGTGCTGCGCGAAAGGAAACCAAGAAAGCGGCGTCCTATTTTTCTTTATTTTACAAAAGCACAGAGATTTTGTTTTTATTGTTAATGTACACAAATAAATGCAAACCTTTTACAGTTTTGATTAGAAAGAGTAGTTGTTTCCACTATAGGAAGGAAAAAATTAAAGTGACGAGCACACAGTTAAGCGTTGCTAACTTGACAATGCAGCCTGTTCGTTATCAAAATAAAATACAGTCAGCCAAACATATGGAAAAAACACACTGCTGCTCAGTTTAAATGATCTGTGCTGTTAAGTGTTATCACCGTACCGCCGTGATGTTATTTCAAACACAGTTTGTTTTATGTGGTTATTGGAACGTGAGTGAAGTACAAAACAAGGTTTACATAATAAATAACATTTCGGCATTTAAATACATTGCGAATACATAGTGTAAATTGTCATTTATGTAGTCTAGCTTCTTATATTTTTCATTCTCGTTCTTTTCTGAATACTGTTAAATTGAAAGGATTTGTTGGGGAGTGAGGGGAACTAAAATAGCCTAGCCTAGCTATAGTGTTTATAATGTTTGTAAACATTTTGCGTCGGCTTTAGGCCTATTTCTGAATATAATAATAAAATGCGAGTGTATTTTAACCATGCAGTAGGGCTGTCAAAAATAAATTCGAATTTCGAATATTCATTGAATTTAAAATAAAAATCCACATTCGAATGCAAAAACATTGCATTCGAATTTTAGGTGTGCGTCACGCAACCTTATCAGTGGCGCACAAGATGTGATGACAATGTAAGTGTCGTTGCATTTTAATGTTTTTTTTTTTAGCTTATCCAGCTGAACCCACAATATGCGGCGCTGCTACATTGTTCATTCAAACTATTGTGGAAAAAGAGAACATCAATGCGGAGATGTTGTTGTTTACGTCAAAACTGAAACCAAGCCGTTCACACAGAACGCATATTTATCGCATTTTCTAGAGGGACATCTATCACCGTTGCACTCGCATCTCGCACAAGAGAGCCGCATGTTTAGAAAGCCATGTAAAATTAATGTAAGTTCAACTTTTAAAAAACATGTCTCGAGACTTTATGGCAGTTTTTCCCATCCCACTGCATCTCATGTTTTTAAATAGAAAAAGTACTCTTTGTGATTGGTTTTCGGTCGTTTGTATTAAACTATGCACACATGATGCGGTTTTGTTTATAATTGTTTAAGCAACTTAATTAATTATATATGGTTTATAAACATTAATTTAAACATTATGCACTTTTTTCAAAGATGATGGTGTTATTTTATTGCTTTGCAGAAACGTGCATTAGTAATATTTTGCTCAATGCGCCCTCTTGTGGCCTCAGGAGAGAAGCCAAAATCTTTTTCCCTCCTAACTGAAATTATGCCTTTTAATTCGAATATAATTTTAAGTACAAAATTTGAATGTAGTTTTTCAGCCATTTTCACAGCCCTACCATGCAGCAGCTGTTTTAAAATATTTTGATAAATTACTGAACGGCTTTTTAAACTGTTTAACTGATTGTATTAATCGGTCTAAGTTCTTTCTGTCGGTTAATGATTAACGGGTTAAAATGAGCATCCCTAGTTCCTACAATATAATATGCAATTTAATATACACTTAAATGTACACTAACCAAACCTTCCTGCCGTTTCTCCAAAGAGTGGACCACCTTTACTCATTCTTCATCCAGTGGTCTCCAGACACTTATGGGAAAGACGCTCAGGAGCAAGGCTTCGTGGTCGTAGAGAAAGACGAACTCACCATGATCGACAACTTCTACAGTGACCCGGTTCCTCGCAGCTGGGAGGTGAGGAACATGCGACTCTTGTGAGAAACACCTAAAAGAATACGAAAAATATGAAAGCTTGGTTTGTTTTTTTGTCATCAGATCATCACGATTAATGAGGCCAAGCGACGCCAGAGCTTCAGCTTCGAGGACGAGGAACCTCTAGATCTTCTTCCTGTGCTGATGGACCCCAGCGCTCTTTTGGAAGACACGCACATTGAGAAGGTCTACATTTTTTGCTACTTTAAAGGGATAGTTCACACAAAAATTAAAATTTCTTGTTAATTTACTCATTCAAGTAGCAGAACAGTAAAGAAGATTTTTAACTGAAATCATGGCCCTTGGTGATTCATAAAATGTCAATGGCTACCGGTTTTTGAGAATTAAAAAAAAAAAGCATATCAAGGAACATGAAATTAATACCCGTGGTTCCTGACTATATATTGAGGTCTTATGAAGCGAAACGATCGGTCTGTGCAAGAAACTGAACATTACTTACAACATTATTACCTGTAATCCAGAGGCAAATGGGGAAATATGATTCTTTTCTGCAAACTGGTTCTTTTGGACAGTTCGTTTCAGTGTACTGGTGCAATTCACTAGTTAGTTTACGTAATCAAGCAATGACGTAACATATTCGCAATTGTGTTATTATTATAGAGTCGAACTGTTTCCTCAGTTCAGTGACTGTTGGAGGAACTGAAGCACTGAATCCGTTCATTCATCATTGGATCATATATGCCGTTATTTCGGCTCATTTCCAGTCGGAGTGACTGTCAGGCGTCCGAAAGTGAGTTTTGATTGAGTAACTTGTAGATCTGCGCTGCTCGAGCCGCGAACTGATGCAGATGCTTCAGTGAACTTGTTCAACTAGCTCACTAAAAAGAATCGGTTCAAAAGAATGATTCGTTCGTGAACTGGACATCACTCCAGACTGTTTGCCTGAGGCTCTGGATTACAGGTAATAATGTTCAGTTTCTTGCACAGAGTGATCATTTCGCTTCCTAAGTCATCAATATATCGTCAGAAGCCAAGGCTATTCATTTGCCATTAGTAATTTGCTGTAGCCATTGACTTTTATGAATCACTAAGGACCACAGTTTCAGCTGAAAATCTTATTTACTGTTCTACTGAAGAAGAAAAAATTCACTGAGGGTGAATAAGTTAACAGCAAATTTTCATTTTTGGGTGAACTATCTCTTTAACTATTTAAAGGTCCATTGGGGTTTGTTTGTGATATTATGTGATGATATAAATGGTAGGGGTGTAACGGTACACAAACATGACTGTTCGGTACATACCTCGGTTTTGACATCACGGTTCGGTATTGTTTCTGTACAGCAGGAGGGAAAAAAACGGTTTACTGAACAAATTGCTTTTTCTTTAAATAAATTCAATTACAATTAAAATTTTCTTAGGGATAAAAATCTGCCTCAGCTTCTCTAATCTATAGGGAACACTTTTACATTACTGTAAGGTTACAATTAACAACAGAGCCCAAACTTAAATTCAATTACCATTTATTTTTAACTATAATAATCAACAATCAAATTAAAACTTTGTATGCAAACATGTAAACTGCACATAATGCAGTTTTTAAATTAACTTCTAAATTATACAATTTCTATTTGTTGTTGAAATATAATAATTTACACAGTGGCTGTCGTAACTTTTTCAAAAAAGATTTATTTAAACATACATTAAATAATTAAGACGTCACTAACAGGTAAAGTAAAATATAATCAGTATGTAGTCTAATATTTCTCAAAATGCTCTTCTCTAGACTTCAGATAACGAGCTGTAGACACTGATGACTTGCCTGAGGTAAATGAAATGCTACGTGACATTTTGTTTACAAGCTGTTTAATTTACATCTTTCCGCGGTTGAAACACTGATTGAGCGATTACATGAGGCATGGTTTGTTCATTCATGTTTATTTCACGTTCAAACTAGTAGTAAAGATGAAGGGATGATCGCGCTCACTCGCGCTCCGCACTGATGTTAGAACTGAGACTTCTATACAGCGATCTTTCACGCAGCATTAAAGAGCGTCAAAACGGCATTTATTGTTTGATTTTCCTGGGAAAAAAATGGAATGATTTGTTCGGTACATATGCGTACTGAACCGAAAGACCCGTACTGAAAATTTCCGGATTGAATACGTGTACCGTTACACCCCTAATAAATGGTGATCATTGTGATTTGTATGACGCTTTCTTCTGCAGTTGTCCACTCGTTTGCCGGCCCGTGTTCAGGGTTATCCGTGGCGTCTGGTCTACAGTACGGTGGTACACGGAACCAGCCTGAAAACCCTGTACAGGAACCTGATGGAGCTGGACTGCCCTGTGCTGATGGTCATCAAAGACATGGACAACCAGGTACATGCACTACTGTGACTGCTGTTGGTACTGTGACCGGCTGATGAAACTGGTGTTCCCATGTTAAAAAAACTTGTCATTTTCTCCTGCAGATATTTGGAGCGTTTTCCACTCACCCTTTCCGACTGAGTGAGCACTATTATGGGACAGGAGAGACCTTCCTCTACAGCTTCTGCCCAGAGATCAAGGTGTGTTTCTGACCTACGTAGACTTTAGGGGACAAAATTGTTTGCAAACGCCCTAGCAACCACAAAATAATGCCTTATCAACCACTCAGACGTCTAATGGTGTGTTCACACCAGACGTGAAGCGAATATGCGCATTGCGTCACTCGCTCTAGATTACTCACGGGATGTTTTTCGTGTCACTCGCGCGAATAAAAACAGCGCGATCAACCATGGTGGAGATAACTACAATCTCTGTTTTGTACCTGTTGTCAAAAAGTCCCAAATACGATGGAAAGCCAAACGCCGACGTGTCTGGGTTCACAGCACCATCCAGAGGAGGATGAGTAACGTTAGGATCCTGCATTAATGTGTGTGTTACATTTTACTACTGTATATATACACTGATATTACTATTATTTTTATTATTGATAGCAGCATCTCTGTAGCCATGCTAATAAAATACAACTACCACTACAACTGATTTTAATTGTTTTCTATGCTCCAGACCTATAATAACAGACGGCTACAATAATGCTCTCTTCTATTGTTTGATTCAACTGGACGTGTCAAGAAGCTCTTCGCTAATTGGCTTGCGCGAGAACGTGTCATGCGAATTTTCCGCTCGAGTTGAAATTTTTGAACTTGCGCGGAAGACGCGATTGAGGCGAATATCGTACGTATTCATTTGCGTCGCCCGGCGCGAATTCGCCTCTATTCGCGTCTTTGCGTTGACTTTGTATGTAATCTACTCGCGCGAATAATTACATTCGCGTCTGGTGTGAACACACTGTAAGACTGGAAATGCAAAGAAGGGCTCACGTAGTAGATTGGCTCACTACTTAAGGAGTTCAGTAAGAGTGATTAAAATGGATATTCATAAACCCTCTCCAATACAAATTTATGGATCGTTTCTGCAGCTTACAGGCCCGTTCACACCAAGGACGATAACTATAAAGATATAGTTCTAAAAATCTTTCTCAATATTAAGGAATAGCAGAGTCCACACCACAACTATAACAATAAAGGCACAGAGAAACGATATCATTGGAATCACTTTCAGAATGATTTTTTTTCCAGCTGATGAATAATAAACACACTCACTGACAGCCCATCAGAATCACAATCTGACTTGACATCAATCCAGGTGTGTGTGTGTATATATATATATATATATATATATATATGCATGCACACACACACACACACATGCACACACACACACACACACAGTTACAGTACTTTATATTGTTAGATTGTTATATAGTAATATATTATTATATGATTCAATTTTATTGATCAATTAATCAATAAGACTATTTATTTATATTTATAGATATAATTTATATTAATATATATCGTCTCAATAACACTAATGGAAATATTTTTGTTTATTGAAATAGAGCTGAAATAAAATATAAAATATAATATTAGATGGAAAAACGTAAACTATGAAATTTTGCCTTGACAGCTAACTGAAAAAAGTTTTAGTTGAAGCACTAAAACTACTAAATGGAAATTAGTTAAAAATAAAATTGAAAGAATAATAAACCTTAATAGTATTATGTAATCTACTCCCGCGAATAATTACATTTGCATCTGGTGTGAACACACCATTAGCAACTGTTTAACAATGTCCTGGCAACCAATCAGAACACTTTTGCAACTGCCAAGCAATCACCCTGAATACCTTAGCAACTGCCTACTGCCTTCTAAAACCTTAGAAACCACATAGAAACACTTGGCAGACACTTAGAAACTTAGAAACACTTTGCAACATCCCAGCAACCAATGAGAATACGCTGTAATTGACAGGCAACCACCCAGAATACCTTAGCAACTGCCTAGCAACACCTTAGAAACCACTTAGAGAACATTGTCGACCACATAGCAACGCCTTGTCAACCACTCAGAACATTTTAGCAACTGCTTGGCAATTTCACGGCAACCAGTCAGAACACAGCTGCCTAGCAACAGCTTAGAAACCACTTAGAGAACATTGGCAACCACACAGTCTTAACAACCACTCAGAATATGTCAGCAACTGTTGCCAATGTCCTGTCAACCAATCAGAACACCTTTGCAACCACCTAGAACACCTTAGCAACTGCCTAGCAACACCCTAGAAACCACTTAAAGAACACTGGCAACCACACGGTCTTAACAACCACTCAGAATATGTCAGCAACTGTTGCCAATGTCCTGTCAACCAATCAGAACACCTTTGCAACTGCCAGGCAACCACCTAGAACACCTTAGCAACTGCCTAGCAACACCCTAGAAACCACTTAAAGAACACTGGCAACCACACGGTCTTAACAACCACTCAGAATATGTCAGCAACTGTTGCCAATGTCCTGTCAACCAATCAGAACACCTTTGCAACTGCCAGGCAACCACCTAGAACACCTTAGCAACTGCCTAGCAACACCCTAGAAACCACTTAAAGAACACTGGCAACCACACGGTCTTAACAACCACTCAGAATATGTCAGCAACTGTTGCCAATGTCCTGTCAACCAATCAGAACACCTTTGCAACCACCAAGCAACCACCTAGAACACCTTAGCAACTGCCTAGCAACAACTTAGAAACCACTTAGAGAACATTGGCAACCACACAGTCTTAACAACCACTCAGAATGTATCAGCAACTGTTGCCAATCTCCTGTCAACCAATCAGAACACCTTTGTAATCGCCAGGCAACCACCCAGAACACCTTAGCAACTGCCTAGCAACACCCTAGAAACCACTCAAAGAACATTGGCAACCACACAGTCTTAACATCCACTCAGAATATGTCAGCAATTGCTTGGCAATGTTCTGGCAACCAATGTGAACACCTTTGAAACAGACAGATAGCCACCCAGAATATCTTAGCAACTGCCTAGTAACAATCTATAAATTACTTAGAGGACCATAGGAACCGTTAAGTAATGCCCTAGCAATCATTTAGAAAATGTTAGCTACAGAGTAGTAACCAGCAACCCACCCGAGCTTGAATCTTGAATCAATCAAAAGGTCCCTAGCAAAAAATATCAACACACTGGTCTAAAATCTACTTTGTCGCGCACAATTGATCGCGACCGGTATGAATAGCTCCATAGGGATCTATTGTTTTGATTCAAGAACGTCATTGTGTGGTGCATTTGCGTCGCTTAATCGCGCTCAATGTGAAAGGACCTTAAATCGTTTCCAACTTCAAATCTCTGTTCAGATTAAGTATCCAAACGGCATGAGACCTCAATACTTTAAAGTGACAGTTGTAGTTTGTCTTGATGTTTGCCTTTAGTTAATTCAATTTACGTTTATTTGTATAGCGTTTTCCACGATGCACATCATTCCAAAGCAGCTTCACAGAAAATCAATGTGTCGTCAATGACGCTCAATGTTTTCAGGTTTACCGCTGGAAGGGTGAAAACTCATACTTTGTGAAAGGAAACACGGATTCCCTTCAGATCGGCGGAGGAGGGTGAGTTCAGAAACATGCTAACGTGAGCTGGGTAGTAACTGATTACATGTAATCAGATTCCAAAAATTAAGTTCTTGTAATTAGATTAAGTTAAATTTTTAAATACTCGTGATCAGACGGCAGTTACTTGTTTGAGAAGGGTCTGGCTGCAGACTTGCGCTCTCAGACACTTGTGCTTTCGCAAGTGACGTCACTTGCAGTCTTTTTTAATTTTTATTTTGTTCTATTTATTGATTACATTTTGTTTGAATCTCTCAACATTTTACAACAGTAGCCAGGTGGTGAAGACAAGAAAAAAGAAACTTGCAATCTTCACGTGCGTGTTGCCAATGGAGACAAGATGCAGTGGTGGTGATTAAACAATTAAAACTAATTTAGTACTATAACATACAGGGTCCTGCAAGAAAAAGACGACCCACAAATCCGTGGGCACAGAACAGCAGAATATGAACGCAATGGACAAAGTCTCTCGTTAAGCGTTTTCCTCCTGTAGAAAAACATAAACACTTAACATGGCTTAATGTATTAAGATACATTAAGTGCAATTAAAAGATCAAATTCGATATATAGTTATTATTTAATGTACTACAAGTCAAGCAGATGGCCATGAACACGATGCGCAAACTTTCACTTAATGTGGCATAATAACGGACTAAGATGATAAAGACAATTCAGTAGCCTATATGTCTTGTTGTTGACTCAAAGTATATACAGACTAGCAAATATGAACGTGCATTATGAAATGCATTAAGTGTTATTAAAAGGATAAACTCTTTACAGGCAAGCAGACGAGCCCAGAACGCAATGCGTTAAATTGCACGTTAAACATTATCCTC